CCCTAGGGGATCCTGCTCTGGCAGGGAGGTTGGACTAGATGATCTCTAGAGGTCCCTTCCAACCCCTGACATTCTGTGATTCTAACAGATTTATAAAAAAAACCTTCGCCGCCCCATGGGAGCAGGGTGAGGGCAGGGTCTAGGGCTGTTCAGTTCAGGCAAGGTGAAGATCGGTACGACTGGCCTGCGAAAGTGAAAGTGCAGGGAGGTGGCTGACAAACGGGTAATGTCGTGATTGTGTCACAGCCTTTGATGACAATATGTCTCTCTCTGCTCTCAGGATAAATGACTCTTGTAACGCTTCTGTAAACTCACAGCCTGACTGAAAACCTGTGTGCGAACCAAACCTGGCTCAGCGAGTCTGCACTAATTGCAGAGTGAATGAGTTACTCTGGAAAGCAGAGCCAGTTATAGTTCTGTTGCACCTACTGTTGTCTAGTGGATTGGAGGACTCAGTAATAATTTTTACGTGATGACCGAGTAACACATGGAGCGCAAAGTATCGATGACACCGTTACAGTCTGTGGTGCACGATGGTGTATCGCTGCTGCGTGTGCCCGTTTGTTGTTTTTCTGTGAAGCGCTGGCTGTGGGAGAAGATCCCGTCTCAGAATATAGTTGCTAAAAAAACTTAAGGAGGTGCAGGATGCACACGGGTACCTTGGCAGTGTCACCGTACACATCACGGTGCAAATGCCAGCTCTGTCTCATCTGTATTTTCGCACTCATTAGTGTAATGGTTCTATGTGGGAGTTTGAGGCAGACTTGCTGTCACTTAACTCCTCGCAGCTCCGAGTTGTTTGTGACAAATTCGATTTCTGAAAGTTCATTGAGGGGGAGAGCAGCTGGGAAAGTGTGTTCTGTGTTACACGTGACACACAGCACACTAACTACCCTTACAGGTATTCTTGGAGCAGGCGAATGTGTAATTTCTATTATGTGTATTTTCTTCATTGTGAGTTGCTTTGGTGACACCACTGCTCGTTCCAGCGAAACAGAAAACGACCTGTGGTCTCCAGTGAGCGTCCTCTCAGGAGCACAGTCATAAAGAATCTCCACTTTGGCTTGGCTCCACACCATCAGCTTGAAGAAGAGTGCAAACGTCTTGGGGGAAAAAATAACAACTCAAACTCTTATTATATTAATTCCAGGTTAGGTGTGTGTTTAAAATGAGGACGTCTCTTGTCTCTACAGTTAAAAGCAGTGTTTCTCAGTATAGTAAGGATGCTAAAAGTGCCTCTTGCCGAAGTGAATGTTACTCCTCAGCCGTCAGCCTGGAGGTTGTTACGCTCTCAGCACGGCAGCAGAGTGCTCTGTGGGCGGATGGTCTGACCTCCACCGAGAACTACTGCGACAGCCTTGCCTGGACAGAGGTAAAAATTCACAGCTGCTCACCCTGAAACCAGCTCTTGTCCCAGCTGAGTTACATCAGGCTTGGCTTGATGATTTGGTGCCTGGTG